TATATACTCGTTCGAAGATTGGTTAAGGACCTTGCCATGGAGACTAAGAATGTTCTGGGCCTGCAGTAGCAGCGGTCTGTCAATCATGTGACCTTCGTACACAAATGCCCCCTGGGGAACAGAGGGGTTAAACATTATAATACACAAGGGTTAATTGGTGAGTGGGAGCGAGACAACCTAGTCATGATTAAATGCCAATAGCATTATAAACCAGGAGCAATAATTACCTGTGGGAAGTTGAACTTCCTCATCCCTCCTGTTTGTCGCGAAAGTTGGGCGTGTGTGCATACATGGCTTGTGATCCAGGATCAAGGCTTGGTACAGTAAGGTCACGAAGGCAGCAGTAGACATGAATCATAAGTGAGGTATGAAAGGCAAAACAAGCGAAAAGCAACAAATCAACGACAACCAGGACACTACATGTAGTGTAGGAGACTGACATGTCCAGGGTGTTGGTGGTGGTTGAATGCTGAAATGAGACGTGAGGCCCACTGCACCCTCTCCTCACTGGGAGAGAAGGCTTCCTGAACCACTGGCACCTGAGCTGCGTGGATGACCTTAGAGAGGGAGGGATTGGGAGAAGGAAGAGGGGAAAAAAGGAAGGGAGGAAGTGGGAGCAGAGAAATGCGCATCGGCAGGCTCAAATGCAAGTTTTTTAACAGAGGGGATATGGTTTTTGAGCTGTCTACAAGTTACATACAATGGAGGTTACTCATGATTGGTGTATCAGCATTCCTGCTTTACTAACAGGGCGCACGCATGCGCACGTTGTTACAACTTACAGTCATTATTGGAGGGGCGCGACTGTGGCCCCACAGCACAGAGCTTGGGGCCGTCATCTTCATCTTGAACCGTGTGGCTACTGAGAGACCAGCAAGATCAGACTGTCGTGATCTACAGCACGAGAAATGTCCGCGGAAGGCCTTCTCGCCGAGTATCCTGAGCTGAGGCCGTTCGTCCTCCACAACGTGCGACTCACTGGCATCAGAATCGGCGCCAGAACCTATGGCAGCGTGGAGGAGGTGGCCGTGCCTGGAGCCATCTGCGCCGCCAAAAAATCCACGACATCTTCCTGGATCGCTCCGAGATCCCCGCGGTCGAGATCCGCAGGGCCACGGCCCAGTTCGTGGGGGAATGTCAGCTTATGAGCACCCTCGGCCTCGACCACCCGAATATCGTCAAGTTTCTGGGCGTCGCCTTCTTTCCCGGCTCTCGACTACCAGCCCTCGTCATGGACTTCACGACTTGCTGGACCCAGAAACGGACTGGCCTCCCCCGCCCAACACGCCCAAGCCGTTCTTCCCGCTGAGCGTAAAGTGCTCTATCCTGCACAACGTGGCGTGCGGTCTAGCCTACCTCCCGTCATCCACCGCGGCTTGTCGGCCAGAAACGTTCTCCTAAACTCGGCGATGGTGGCCAAGATCGTGGATATGGGCGTGGCTCGTATCGTTCCTCGTATGAGAACTGCAGCCACCATGACAAAGGGACCTGGGGCCTTAGTCTACATGCCTCCTGAAGCCAGTGCTCCTGCTAAATCAATGCCCAAAAGTCGAAAAACGATGCCAGTATCGATATCTTCTCTCTTGGAGTAGTTGCCATTTTCACAATCGGTGAGGTCTTCCCCGGTGATCCTCTAGAGCCCACCTATCTTAATGACGAAACTGGGTTGCTAGTAGCTCGCACTGATCTACAGCGACGCAGCGAATACATGCGACACGTGAACGAGCAACTCCGTGCCTGTGGCCAGCTCCGTGGCGACCACCCTCTCATTCGGCTGATCCAGCAATGCCTGCACAACGGTCCTCACAAACGCCCCAGCATTCGTTAGGTGCTGCGTCTGTTGGAGGAGGTCAGAACTGGAACCAGGGACAGCGGATGGGAAGAGGTGCAAGCTGCTCAGATCCAGCCCAGGAACCAGGTGAGGGAGTGTGTGTGCCGTAATGCTGTGGTCTCTGCAACTGAAACTTGATTTGTGTTGTGCAGAGTTTGGAGAGAGATCTGCAGTCTCGTGTGCATGAGCTACAGCAACAGCTGCAGTCCAGGAACCAGGTGAGTAGTCCTGCGTCGATTATTCCAGAATAATTTCGGGAATAATAGGTCCCTCTGGGAATAAGAATAATTCCAAGAATAATAGGTTGAAAATTTCCAAGCGAGCGACGAGCCGGCAACGGCGGCAACTCGCGGAAGGGCGAGTGGACGCGCGTCACGCGCACGAGTGGGTCAAAACGGAACGGACTCCGACTCGGACAGGGAATCAGGGATAAACACCACGTGGATAAAATGGCGTCGACTTCCCATCCGGTAGATCCGGCTCTGTATAGTACTGTTTTTCCTTTTTCAAGCAGAATAATAGGTAAATTTCTGTGAATAATGGGTAAACTTTAAAGAATAATAGGCATATGGAGTAGGAAATTCAGAATAGAATATCCGGACAAATTGTGGGAATAATAGTCTCAGGCCTACAGGTTAGGGACTCACCTATACTGTCATAACAATAGAGTTTTGATAGAGAATTCCTAAAATATCAGGAGAATGCAGATCTCCAGTCAAGCATGCAGGAACTACATTCCAGGAATCAGGTAAAGAGTAACAGTCACTCAGTTTTCCTGGGGCAGTATATACTCCCCCAGAATTACATTACGTCATTGCCGTGGTAGAAGCATATTGAGTACTGGCACAAATCCTCCCTCTCATATATAGGCCAAGGACAGGGAGCTAGCTGAGGCTCAGCAGCAACTGAGACAGAAGGTGAATTTGCCATGTTTATAAGTAGGTGATGACTTTGCGTTTCTGATTTTAGGAGGAAGAGCGAGCTAGACAAGGAGCAGAGCTGACAAGATCAGAGGAGACTATCAGGAGAGAACAGCAGCAGGTTCAAGCAGTGTTAGCTGAGACTCAGCAGCAACTGAGACAGAAGGTGAATAGTGATAACTGCAGGATGTGTCATGTTTTGTGACTAGAGGTCCTCCTGACTGCAGGAGGAACAGCTGCGATCAAGTGAGGCTCTAGTGGCTGACTTTCAGAAGGCCCTCCAGCAGAGAGACTTAGAGCCGACTCAGAGGACAAAGGTCAGTCTTACTGGCTGTGAATATTTACTTCACACATTCCTCTCAGGCTCAGTCTGGTTGTCTAGCAACAGCTGTATATACCTCAACCTGTAATCATTTACCTTCTGACTTGTGTGTATGTATAATTATATAACTACTAGTAGGCGAATGCATGGCATTTTGGCGAGCGGAAGCGAGCTTACAACTAATCGTATGAGTTAACTCTTGTGTGTGCACAAAACACATTGCGTAGCGGCTGTAGGCGGGCCTCTCTCTCCCACTGGACTCGGCACCAATTTGGCGCTTTGAAGCTGTTGGAGCCTAGCCTGATGTGCTTCCTCGGATTCTGCACCGCGTCTAGCTCTTGATCGTACACGACCTCTCGCTAGTCGCGCTTCCCTTTCCTCCGCTGTTTCTGTTGCCTAGCCCGTTCCCGATCACGCAATCGGCGTTGAGAAAGCCAAGCTTCTCTCTGCTCAGGAGTCTCACTGGCATGACGTTCTCTTTCCCTCTCTCGTCGACGACGAAGAGCATCTTCTCTAGACCGATCCATAACTCTTTCCCTTTCCTCACACGCTCACAAATTATCAGGGGTGGAGCCTACTGATGGGTGGGCGACGTACCGACGACGTACGGTGACATGCGCAGTTCGGCGACATACGGTGACATAATTATATATATATATATATAGAAAATCGCGCCGTTCGGACCACTAGGTTAGCTCGCTTCCGCTCGCCAATAATGTTTTTACACCATTTGGAGTGGTGTTGCTGGTTTATCCGCCCGACAACACCATGACAAAAGGTGTGATAAAATGTTTATTACCGTTGATTGGTCGTTGCGGGGCACACGCTTCCAAATAAGGCAATGCACGTGATCCCCACGTCAAACTAGTGATTGGAACGCTCGTCAGGGCGGGGGGTTAGCTATGGCGAAGGCTTTTCGTATGGAAGTAGAGGGCTGGAACGACTCCTTTTCGCCGCTTGACGATGAACCAATGGCAGAAAGTGTCAGCAGATCCCTGACTGCAAGTAGGAATGGACATACGACCAAAACCAGCGACGGACCGTTGGCCAAAAAGCGTAGCTTTCTCTCTCTCTAAAAGGAAAGGATAAACCCATTGAGCGATTTCAGTTTGTGGATTCTGCCAAGAGCGAGGCTCTCAGCAAGAAGTTTGTACCAAAGAATACTGAAAAAGGGACTCAGTGGGCGCTCTCTGCTTTCCTATCGTGGCGCAAAACGTGAAATGCACACTTCGCGGAGGAATCTGACAATCTAGTACCGTGGGATCTACTGGCCCTCACTGACCCGGATATCCTCAGTAAATGGCTGACATTTTTTGTTGCTGAAATAAGGAAAAAGGATGGTAGCTACCGCGTTCCAGATAGTTCGAGTGGCCTAACTTTTTAGACTAGCTGTAATCACTTGATTTCTCATGCATTTTGAGCCATGTATTCAACCTAAAATTACCTGGTTTCTGCATTTTGCCATGATTTTGCTATGTATCTATACATTTTTAGCTATGATATCCAACCCTACCCACAGTCGATATTCACACCATTCCTTAGTTATTTACCCTAACCACAGTGGATATCCTCACCTTCTCACCCTCTTGGGTGGGTAGCTGATTTATTGTGCTAAAATAAACATAGCAACGACCTAGCAACGGGTAATAAATTATATATAATATTATATATGCTTCCAACAAATAAATCTCTTTATGCACTGCCTGTGAATACTGCTAGTTGTTCCACCCTCACAGACCCAGCCTAGTCTTCTACAAACAGCTGTACCACATTCCACACCAGTCAATATTAAACCCAGATAGGTTAAATATTTCTTCACACTTTCATTCTCATGACAGGAGCTAACGATACATTTTAAACTGGATTAGTAGTCGACCATAGGGGTGCATGTCCTGTTCCCGTGTTCATGTAGCTGGCATGTAAGAACATGGAACAGGACTTGCAGGAATTTTTCGTGGATATATACAAGAACTCATTATTAGGCATTAAATGAAAATTCAAAAAATCATCCATGTTACTTGGCCTTGAATGTTGTAGTCAGGTACAATAACTGCAACTCAGACACATGGTTGATGCGGCTAGATAAGCTTTAGCTAGTACATTATATTCTCGGGCCTGCAGACAATGGACGTTTTTTTTGTACAACGAGGTGGTCAGGCCGATGGGGACTCCGTCATCAGCTCTGATACACCGGTTTTGTCACTTTTCAACTGCTAGGATGTGACTCCGGTGAATGGGGCCAAAACCTGGCCATAAACGGTCGATGACGGTTCTATTGGTGCTCGAGCTATTAGTATAGCTATAGCTGGTTACAACGCTTGTAGTGCGTAAGAGCTAAAGAGCGTTTCCTTGCAGCTGAAGGAACACTCTACCTACCATTATCTAAGTACATAAGACGTTGCATGCGAGCGCCATGGCTATAATAGTATTCTACTGCCCTCCCCCACAAGGCCGTAAAACGCACGCATTCAAAAAAGGTATATAGTTGCTATAGCATTGACTCACGATACAATTATTGAAGGTAACATTAGAAGAACGAGAAGAGGACCAGGAAAGTCCAACTAGACATGAAGCAACTGTTAGAGTGAAGAAAGAATTACAGCACACAAGAGAAACTATAGGGACAAAGGAAGATATCCTTCAGAAAGGTTTGACAAGAGTGTTACAACAATTAAAAAGCCAGGGGCAATTGACTGAAAGAAAAACCAAAGAGCTTTATGAAATGGAGAGGATAGTAACAGAATTAGGTGAAGATGTTAAAAGGCTGACAGTTAAAAGTTTGGATATCCAAAGGATTAAAGAAGAGAAAGAAATGCAACTGCAACATGAAGCAACTAATTGTGAGTGTCTACAGACTGAGCTTAATGAGAAAGATAAACTCATAAATGAACTCCATAAAGCCCTAAGTCGGAAAAATAGTACCTTCGAGACCATGAATCAGCAGCAAACACAACAAAGTAAAGGTCGATTACCACTAGACTTAGAAGCAGTACATGCAGACGGAGTTCACGTAATCAAACCAGAAATGCAAGCCACAGCAAAACCAAAAACCCAAACCACAGATGGTTGTTTCGCAAGGTTTCAAGTTGGAGATGGAGACAATTATGTAACAGAGGAAAAGCTAGTTTGTGGTGAGTTTTTAGAAGATTATTATTCCTATGTATAACTGCCAGCATGCACTGGTGATAATCTTTGGGTGAGCAGAGCGGGCATGCCGTTTCTTTTAGCCAACGTAGATCATAGGTGTGCCCGGAAGTAGTAATCCCTACACGGAAACACAGGCAGAGATGTCACTGGAGTAACGGAATGGCTCTACTGTAACGTGAAGCACTGAGTGATCGCTCTGTCCATATGAAATACGAGACCCCAGACAGATTGAGAAATACTCCATGCTCTCTAAATTAGAGAGTCGGTAGACTCTCTATATAGCTAGGGATGGCACGGGTGAAATCTCGCGTGATCTGCGTACAAAACGACTACAAACTCGGTGAGAATCACTCCCTAGGGCTTCAGAATAAGCAAAGTTTAATATCGAACAAAGATAAATAGGGATGGTGTCATGTAGGTTTGTGCAACTTTGCTTTGTAATGACCCCTTGTTTCTTCCTTTTTGGTGCTTCAAGCCATCCATATATCCCCCTTCATTTTGAAGAAATGATTTTCCACTTTAGAAAGTTGGTTCATGTGCATGTAAACAATGCATGTATTCATAAAAGTATAGGGAAAATGGCACTAAAGAAACGACTATATAGGTGAGATCGCTCTGCTCGCCCAATTATTGCATATCTTTTGTTAATAACAGAATCATGGATATGCTGTGTGGAATTACAAACAAATGGCAACAGCTAGGAACCCAGTTTGGACTCCTAAGTAATGACTTGAGACAATAAAAATGAATGGTTCAGGGCCATATGACTGGCTATTAAAGGTAATTGCAAGAAAGAAAGAGCGTTCTACTCACTTTGGGTGGACAGATATTGTGAGGGCACTGCGTGGTATAAAGCAATATGCCTTAGCCGAAAGAATCTGTCGCGAATTCAAGGTTGCCTACACCCAACCTCACTCAGGTAAAAACACCTTATAAGATGCACCAAGTGTTTACTTTAACCTTAATTATGTACTTACAGACAGGCCAGCAGACATTGTCGTATTGCGGTTGGAGCAGAGTAGTGAGTGCAAACTCAAAGGAAAATTTTCACATCTTATTAATTTTGCTATTGGAATTTTTGAAAAAAGAGGAGAGCGTTATTTCAAAGACTTCAAAACATACATTATCACATTCTTCTCACTTGATTCAAATATTTTGGTAGCTAATAGTTATCGACAAGTTTTCGACCAAGTAGGTAGTGAGAATAAGTGGGATTATTTACCTTTGTTGGAAATTTTAGAGCACTTCATAGGACAAGAAACAGAGGATAGGCGCACTGACTATCAGCATGCAGTTACAGCCTATCATGCAACGGAAAAGCTTACTGAGACAATGTCAAGAAGTAACCAAACAAGAATGCATCATGAAACTGCAGAAGTTGATGTGACTGCGCACGAGATTCAAATGAAGTTGCACCCACACAAGGTCTCTGAGAGATCTCTGTCATATATTCGCGCAGTGTGGGACTCAATGTCCCATTTCCTTTCGATTCCCTCTGTCAAGACTGTTATCGATCGCATGCACATGCCACCACTCGACACTGAAGCTGACTATCTGTGTGCAAAGCTGCCTTCCGAAACGAGTGAGTCACTAATGGAACAGGGTGAGCAGTCCTGGAAAAATTTCATGAAGACAAACAACATTATGAAGATTTCATTATGTGATGGACGTGTTTACTCACTGTAACAAGAGACTCATTACTTATGACCATTTCTGAGTTTGTAAAGTGGCAAACATTTTTTACTTACGCAAAACTTCAGGTAGCTATAATCAGAGCACGCTCCTTAAACAGAAATTCTCTGAATTGAAAAGTGCGGGATACAGGGATGTGCAAACAGGGATGACATGGTACTACATGTTATGTATAACCCTTAGTGTCACCACTTAGTATAGGCTCTTTGTTTATTTGACTGATGTAAGGTGAGGACAATGTTAACAGAACCTGCATACATTGTGGAGCCTCCAAAAAAGGACCATCTAAACCTAAATGGCCACACAGGAGAAGCTTTACTATGTCTATATCATTTTGCAAGGGGACAGCAATGAATGTATGCTAGCAAATATATGATGCACAATGCTCATTGATACGGTTTTCTAGCTACACCATTGACATCTATTCTTGACCCCGTCTCTATTGTTGATTCAAAGTTCAGAGGTGAACGCTGTATACAATTTTCTCGTAAACTCTGCACATAACGGAAACCTGGGTGATAAGCTAGCTTGGCCTGCGTACTTTGTTGGTCTCAAGTTGAATCTACAGTGAGCAGATAAGATGATACGCAAATGAGTATGCAACAAATGACTATAGTGGTGATAAATGATAATGTTCTGATGGCTCTGTCAGTCACTATGCTTCACTCAACATGGATAGTACTGCCTGTGCTTTCTCCAAGGTTGCCACAGCATACTGAGTGTAGGGATGGTCTGGTCCATGAGTTACCCTCAAATGCTCAACACCCTGCACACGAGAAGCGAAATCATGCATTTTTTTACAAAATTACGCACTAACCTTGGTAAGAACAGTGAGACACTCGGAAAGTTTATGACAGTTCTTAGAAAAGACGCCCAGTTGAAACAAAAGTGTCCCCAGCCGAAACACATGTGATCCCAACACGGGGTGGTACTTTGGCAGATAGCGCCTGCAATGGAGCATTAACGTAACCTACATAACCCAACTATAAAGGACACTTGGTTCTACCCTATACATTGTGATGCATGTCCTTTCGATGTCCCCAAGGCTTCCCTGATTTTACTCTATTTTACTCTAGCTGGTTGGTGCTTACTGATATGGCTCTGACAGCTTTTCACATGCCTCCACTGCCATAGGCAAGTTTTCAAGACCTGGAAATCCGAACAAATTATCAACTTAACCGTTTGGACGCCATGCATATCTCCTTAAAAAAAGCAGAAATTGATGTAAACATATTAACCCCTAGTACTATACCCATATATAAATTCTTACGGACTTATGGAGATGTTATTGAAAAGTGTCCCACCTATCAGCTATCAAAATTGAGATTTACCAACCATATTATACGTAGTGTCAGATACACAATGCTAACAACACACCCATATAGGCATAGTAAAGCTGCTCCTGTGTGGTAAGTGTCACGTTGTGCATGCAGTGCAGAATCCCAGCCTGCCTGGAGAGAGACGACCCGATCTCAACCAGTGCTCTTCTCCAATCTGAAACGAGATGGCAATGATGTCAGGAGCTCTTAGTCAGATTCCTGATGCACTGAAAAGCAACTGCTACGGTTCAATACATAGATCGATCGTGAAATCATCATCGTAGAACCTCTAAAATTAAATTCTAATCCTTGGGACTTAAGACGGGGGTATATATACCCAGGTATCCTTAATTAAAGGGTCCATTTTCGGAGGTTTCGCTGTAAAAAGCTATACCGTCCATGTCCATGAGATACTTGGCTCTTTTCAGTGATTCCACACCTCTTTCAACTGCGACTCTGACTTCATCGGGAGAGCTGCCTTCTGGAAGGAGTCACACAATGGGTAACATCATACACAACTTCTACCAGTAGCTACATATGCTCGCCACTTTGCTGTCCTTGTCGGTTCCTCATTTCTCGCTGACTCTATTCCTATATTGCCTCTATCTCTCTCACTGTCCTTTTTTCCCCGTTAACTTAATTGTTGATCTGCAATCCCTTTGATTGGTTTTAAGATTTTAGGAAGAAGAAGATGAACAAAACTCTCTATCATAGCCCTATAAAACTATGATGCTATAACTAAGAACTTAGTGATACACACTTACCCAGTCCAGCTTCCAATGCTCTAAATGGTGAATCCTGCATCAAAACAACCAGCATACATTATTACAGCACAGTGGAACCCCTCTCTAAGGAAACCCATGGAACACTCTTCATTTCCATGAGCCCAGTTCTTGCATGCAATATAACCACCGAAATACGGACCCCACTCGAATAAGGACACATTTCATTTCCCGATGAACATTTCTTGCATGCAGTGGACATATCTCTAAATAGGGCACTTCCCACTTTCCACGTTGGTGTGAAAAGCCATGGAAAGTAATCATTGAGGATTTCTTCTCACCGGGTAAAGCTCAGTGTTGCACATTTCACAGTCACACTCAAACCCGTACTCAGTCAGTTTAAGTTTCCTCTGTTCAGGAGTATCAAATGGATCCAGATAACTCACCACCAACTACACGCAGATTAGGAAGATGAGAGTGAGCCAATAAATAATACACATGACGATTCTAGAAAACCTCATCCCTATTCCAAGTTGCCGTGTAATGGGGTCTGAATTAAAAGATACATACGGCAAGACAGCATTCAGGTAAACTTCCCTTAACTCATCGTGCAGATTTCAATGAGGTTATATGGGGTAGGATTCTTTTCCATTTACAAACACTGTGCCTCAGTCACTTCCGCGCTACTAGTACGTTACCATTAATGAGTAAAACGGAGATATTCTGATATAATACCTGTTCGCCAGCCTTGATATCTGCAACAGTCCTCACGACTAGCTTTCTACCATCGGACACCGCAGCACAGTTTGGCACACAAGAGTGATTAAACAGCGACAAACTACAGTGTAATCATAACTCGTTACAGTCACAGCAAAGAGTAAGGTTTCCTTACCAAGTGTATAGACCTACACCAATTGGACGTAATTCGTCTTCGTGGATCGAAAAGCCGTTGAAAGTAATCTTGGTGCAAAAAACAGGCAAATGACATGGAAAAAAGAAGTCTCAAACCTTATAAGCTATGTCGACAATCTTCTTCTTAGTTGCAGGATCATCGGTGTCCAAAAAACCCAAAACACCGTGGATGCAGTTCTGTGTGTCTTTGCTTGCACCCTCACTCAGTAAATTGTCATCACCTAATTACACACACAAATGCTAACAATGATTTTGCAAAAAGGCAATTTAGAGAGCTGATCTGCCCTGGTTGGGAGTTTAACCAACGTCGTGTCACTCTCTAGACAGATGCAGAGTCATGAGCCACAATGCTGTACTGCATCTCTGGTCTATATAGTAGATATATTACACTACTGTCAACTCACTGGCACGCAGAAGATCCAGTTCTTGTTTCTGCTTACCCTGAGGCAGAGAGACTATAGGATTGAAACGTGCAAGGAAGATGGGCTAAGAACCAGAGCTATGTCTCCATAACAAAAAAAACGTCGTGTCAGCACTTGAAACGATATTACAAGACCCTACACTCTAGTCTCATTTCTGGCAGCATAAAGGAAACCCTAGTTCTTAGCCCTTCAATACGTCGTATTACCTGGATATGCATGCATCTTAGAACAAGCCTCATCATTACACTGAGCCAAGCTTTCGAGATAGTAACTCTGCACTCGTGTTTGTGAGACCTCCAGTCACTTTCCTGTAAGTTGCATTTTGCATGTGTGTGTGTGTGTGTGTGTGTGTGTGTGGGTGGGTGTGTGTGTGTGGGTGTGTGGGTGTGTGTGGGTGTGTGTGGGTGTTTTGTGCCAGTATGAGCACTGGAAGCATGACATTACCTGGCAAGCTTTGCTGCAATAGTAAGCGAACCTACATCTGCTACATCTCCGTAGTGGTCTACACAAAGTTGTCTCACATAAAATTAGACGTGCAATACATGCAGAGACTGACTTTCCGCAATCTTCGACTGATTTGAAACAGTAATCGCAGTAACATCCTCTTACGTCACTCATCAGGGCGCAGGCCAGCGGGGCAATGGGCGGCAGAACTTCGGTGCCGCATTTCAGATCCTCCGTTGTGAACACGCCTCCACCCCTGCCTTCCTTTTCCTTGACCGCCAGCGGAGGACAAATGCCGTTGTCCTGCCACCACCGCCGCACTCTGGGTCGTCCAGGTGCCTGCTCCCGTTCGTCTTGTTGAGCCGCCATTTATGTGATCTAACCCCAAACGCACGGCGTCGCGCCGCGCGCGGGCGGTTACGTTTGGGCGCGCCAGAGGGGCGCTCTAAATTATAGCTATAATACTAGTGCAAATGTTGAACATTGTTGGCGAGCGGGAGCGACCCAACTTGGGATTTGCCCGTGATGTTCGGGTTGCATAACGTGCCGTCAGCGCACAGCTTTCCTTTCGTGAAGCAAGACAGAGCTACCTGTCGCCGTTACATAACGTATTGTACATTGGCAGAACGGTGAGCAGGTGAGCAGGTGAAAGTGAAAAGAACGGTATATACTTACCTTACGCTTTCAACTCGTCAGCCGTGGTTCACCAGGCAGCTGGCATGCAGCAGTACGTGCACGAGCAATCCTAGCGTAATTGCAAGTTGCAGCTTGGAACCATGAAGATTGGGAAGAGGTACAGCCTCGGTCAGTCACCGAAGGTTGCAGCGCATGCCGTCGAATGGAGGAGAGTTCTCTAGCTGGCTATATAGATCGATCGGCGCATATCGCGAGGCAGGCACCGTGTGTGAAAATGTGTAAAAATTTGGAAATAGTTTCGGATAAAAAGAAGCGCGTACAAAAACGCGCATGCGCATTTACACGACGTATATACGACGACGGTATAATTATATATAATTATATATAAGAAAAATCGCGCCGTTCGTACCACTAGGTTGGCTCGCTCCCGCTCGCCAATTATAGCTAAGTGCTGAGGGACGGGCCGGGGCGTGGGGGTGGGCGGAGCTCCCACTCCTGCATGCACTCGTTGTCTCAAACGAACGCGAACCGAACTGCGAGGATGCTCTTTCCTACTGGATTTAGAAACAATGGGAATATGTGCTTTGCAAGCACAATTCTTCATTTTCTGTTCAACCAGCAAAACCTTAGGAACTGACTGCACTTGTTTGCACCATTCACCTGAATGCAAAATTTGCCAGCAAGGTTTGGACAACAGATAATATAGCTGTTTTAGTTCCCTAAGTGTTTATATGGAGAACAACAGGGCAGCTGTATAGTTTCTGCTATATCTAGTTTGAGGCAGAAGTATCAGTAGATATGAGCAGTCACCTAAACCACTACCAACCAAACATTATAATTATCGCAATCTCAAAGCTGTATATAAAGACTGAGTCAATCACTTAAAGCTAGAAGCTAGTTATTTTTCACAATACTCTAGTCAAATAATCATACAACACCAGACGTTTTAACTGCATTCAGCAGTCCTCATCAGTGGTCATATACGTAGTTACTTACAGGCTGCCTGCCCTTGTTTCCTTTTTGTCACCCAATCATCTACATATTTCCTGGTGATAGTAGAATTTCCTTCATTCCTTTCTCTCTCATGCATAAAAATGGGCCTGCAACCTGTCACTATGTATATAAATATTGATGAGGACTGCTGAATGCAGTTGAAACGTCTGGTGTTGTAATATTATTAAGTCGGTCTGTGTGTGTGTATGTGTGTGTGTGTGTGCGTGAGTGCGTGCGTGCGTGCGTGGGTGCGTGCGTGCGTGCGTGTGTCCGTCCGTCTGTCCACCGGTAACCGCGGCAATTCTGAGCATGAAACGTGACATATTATCGAGTAAGAGGCATGCATGGATCTTGAGGGGAGAAGGCCGGGGAAGCTGGTGAAACGGACGGCTGCCGAGGTGAGTTGCAAGAAGACAACACACAAGACTAAAAGTGTAAACATGCTAACAAAGCTATCGCTGAACAACAACTGCTCTTCTTGCACCCCGTTCAAGCAAAAGCTCCAGGCGCCAGGCGCGTATTTATAGAGCGGCGACAGAGTTGCGCAGCGTTTGCGGACGCTACGGGTTTAAAATGGTGCGCTATGGGTTTAAAATGGTGCGGCACCGCCGCCCATCTGTGCCTCAATAGTCACGTGAAATCGCATGTATGGCTCCACAATAGGAATAGGATGAGAAAATATTGGGCAGTTGTGTGTTGTTGGTTTCCACTGCTCTATATGAATTGATAGATGTGGTGTTTCGATCCGTCCTCTGTCGAACAGACCTCAAAGACGAATGGCAGACACAGCAATGTCTCCTCTGAGGAAGCTGCATCACATTGAGGGTTTAATACTGCATCACTCATGAGAATGATAACAATGTTGGAGACGAAGTTGAAAACTTCATTTCTAGTGAAAGGAGAGTTGTGTGCGGCGTAAATTTTAGGGAAAAAAGTGGGGCGTCAAATAAGTCTAAACTTTTCGTAAGCAAGTGGGGGGAAGGGCAGGCCAACTAACCATCCCGAAAATATACCTTGACTATAGCTGGAATGTGCAGTACTATAATATATCTCTCAAACGTGACTGGTTATGTATATCCTCCCTTCATGTCCCAGCTAACGCTCCCTCTCGTACCTGTAGAATGGCGAAGTTTTCGAGGACAGTGTTCATCATTAAAATTTAATATCAGTCTCTCTGGCAAGTGTTCCAGTCTGTGGATGAAGCTGACCATGTATAGTCACACATGGGTGACCGGTTGATTCGATTGTACGAACCGACCATTGTCGAATCTCGCATACTCCGTCTAACATAGGGAGGGAGAGAGGGGATTAAGTAATTCCTACTGATGAATGTACCTTTGCTGATATGCACAACACTCGTTTGTAGTCAGTCAACTTCATGGTAAGTAATCAATAGGCTTTGGCAAATAATATTCAAGTTTTCACCTAAAATGCTATTCTCTGATTCTCATGCATGTCCCAATAATTCTCAAGAAATATACCCATATATATAATTATAATGCTCAATTTTTTTACCTAAAATGCTATCTCCTTTTTTAAAATAAAATGTATATATTTGAAAATGAGAGGGAAGTTCAATGACTCTATGGGGACCATCCCAGGGAGAGTGAAATTTCCTTGAGGATCCAGGAGGCACTGCTGTATTGTGGAGCCATACAAGGTCTCCTGTGGCATAGGGTTGGCCGTGGATGCGTCTATCGTAGTGATCCTTTTGACGGTGATGGGCACTGCATAGGCCTCACGAATGGTATTCGAAAGATCGATGGCATGGGTGTTTACCGTGGCTGGAGGGGTGGAAGATTGACCATAGATGAGGTCAACAGGGAGTCGTGCTTCTCGGCCGAACATCAGGAAGAATGGACTACATCCTGTTGTTGATTGGGTATGCCAGGAGGACTTTCTGAGTGTGATCTTCCCAGGTTCCCGGGTGTCCTGCCATTGTCGTAGCAAGCATGTTCAGCAAAGTGTGATTAAATTGCTCTACCAGCCCATCAGATTGAGGGTGGTAGGGGGTTGTTCGTGTTTTGTGAATGCCCAGGCACTTGCAAATTTCGGCAGTGAGGGTTGACTCAAACTGCCGCCCCTGATCACTGTGCAGTTGTTCTGGCGGGGAAAATCTGAGGAACATCTCGTTGACCAGCTTGTTTGCTATTGTTGTCACTTCCTGGTTAGGGATTGCGTACGCCTCTGCCCATTTTGTAAAATAGTCCAGAGCAACCAGGATGTAGCGGTTACCTAGTAGGTGTTTCGGGAAGGGGGCCAAAGATATCCACAGCAACAATCTGCATCGGTGCTCCTGCCTCCACAGATTGCAGAGGGGCTCTTTTTTGCGGGGATGTAGACTTCCCACAAGCCGAACACCAATGTTTGACATCTGTCATTGCACCCGGCCAGTAATACCGCTGTTTCAGCCGGCTTAGCATTTTCTCCTGTCCCAGGTGTGCACCAGTGGGCTGATCATGGAGCTGGGTGAGGATCTCTGAACGGTGAGTGGCCGGAACCACTAACTGTAGAGTGTCCTTGGCGCCATCTAGGTCTATTGTTCGCCTCCACAGCTTCCCATGTTTCGAGAGGAGCAGGTCCCACTGTTTATGAAGGTAATGGCTGTCGCTACCCAGGGGCTGCAGCTGACCATGTCTAAGTTTCTCTTTCCGCTCGATGGCTTCAAAAACTGGGTGAATTGCATTATCATCTGCTTTGGTTCCTACGAACTGTAATGCCATCATTGGTGATCAGCTCGAACGAACGAGGTGCGACTTGACGTTGGACGTGTGCTTCTGTTTCTCCATACCCTGCTTCCAGGAAAAGTCTAAGGGCCCATATCTAGCTATACATCTACCCAAAGACCTCCTAGTACTAACTCACTCATACGCGATTTCACGATTTTCGTGTCATCATACTCTTCATTTTCTTCTTCTTCAGACTTGCTTTCTCTTTACCTGAACAAGTTGAAGGGCTGATTGTTTCACTGAATGTCTCCAAATTCATCGGAGGTGTGCACGAACATCAAGCGACCATTCTTTCTTGTCGCAAGTCACTGCGGTATGGAGCTCTTCCACTGCACGACGCCAAAAGGGTGAACTGGAAGGAGAGAGAGAAATTAGGCAGTGAAAAAATGCAGACAACTTGCAGGGGTTACCTTGAAACATACTTAACCGTGGCCTTAACTCTGGGTTCTGACAGAGGTGTGCATGTGCATGTGTATGTGCATAGGGATTCACAGAATCTAGTGGAACCTGGGTTCTGCTGACAGAGTGGACCCTTACAATGACAATTTTTACAAAGCTGGAAGGAGACCATAATTATTATTATATTATTTAGAACATAACGTACAATGCATGACCTTCGAATTGATGGATGGGTGCACAGAAGTTAGGAACTATTAGTAGCACAATTTCCACAATCCTCTGCAAGATACCTAGGGTGTGTGCTGGTCTCTCAAAATTACAACTAGACACACACACACGCAGGAACCCTTCATTACAAAACAACAGTACTTTTTAACCAAACCCTATACACAGCATTTATTAGGCATTGGGGTAGCTACAAATATCTGCTGTTGTGTGTCATAATTATCTTGCATTATTGACACAACTGATGTTGCACCATCGTTGTTTTCTAGTAACCACAATGCCGTACTCAAACACACACACATGGGGGAGAAATATAAGCATCCCACCTCTCTGATACGGTAGCTTGTAATGCGGAAATGGAGTTTGGTGAGGACCAAAGCAAGCAAACCAGATCGCCGAAAACTAAGCGTTTCCTCGTCACACAATGTGGATCTGTGATAAGGCTCAGATGACCCTATGTTGTCATCTGATACCCACAAGGGCTCTTTCCTTGTCAAACACCATAAAGGAAAAAGAAACGGTTTAGTACACACTGCCCTATGTTTGGGATATAATATTACTAGTGCCTCTAGGGTTAAGGATGAAAGCATGCACACCACACATAACTGAATTGATACTAAGTGTTTCCTTGTCCAATGTGGATAGGGTGGGATATATAGGACTCAGATGACCCTAATGTTGTCAAAATACAAAATAATACTAATCTCCTATGTATAATACCCACAACGGCCCTTTTCTCGCTCATAAAGGAAACCAGATAGTCGCTCACTCCACACTGCCCTATTGTACTAGTAACAAATGAGTGATACCCTATAGCAGAAAAGGAAGTGTTTCCTTGTAACATAATGCAGATATGTATGGAAGCCGAGAAGGGCCATTCGATATTTCCGTTCTACACGAACTTCCATTCTTCCAAGCTTTGAAGCTCTGCGCAGTATGGAAGGATTGAAGAATGGAAGTTTGTGGAATGGCCCTTCTTGGCTTCCGTAGATATGGAGTAAAGGTGTATAATATAATACTAGGTGTGCCAAAGGGTTTGCATTTTTTACTGCATGATGATGCTTGTATTCTCTTGTGTCCATCCCTAAAACTTTGAATGCTAATCACCTGCAATTATTGTAGAGTTGCTCAGTTTATGGTGGGTATTTGTAAGAGTATAGTTGGCCGTGTCACATTGATAGACCCTCGAAGTATATAGGTTGATGAAACGTATATACACCACACGCATCTGCGGTTCTGAAGCTCCATAGCTACATAGCTACACACTGAACATTTTCTCCATATAGCAATGGCTAACAGTCTTTTTATGTCGTAAAAAGTAAAACGAGTATAGATATTAAAGGAACAAGTAGAAAATGATATCAATTAGCTATAGTCGTAGGTAGAAAACTAACACATCTGCCAATTTAACATCCCCTCCATTATTATTGTGTGACGTGTATTGTGATAGTGTTGGAGGTATCAAATTTAGCTAAGGCAGGATTATGAAGTGTTAATAAACCACTGTATATACCCAGTGGTGCTGTCTTACTATGTTCAATAGAGAGCGTGCACGAGCGGCCTCAGTCGGACTGTTTACGCATTGCATTGGCTGGCAGGCGCGAGGCAAAATATGCGCGTGCGCATTCCAAGTAAGGACTTATTGGTGCAGCCCTCAGCACACAGCTCAGAATTCAGCGTATATTCCTAGCACCGGGTTGTTTGAATTACAAAGTTGGATACCACAAGGCAAATGAAGGACACCTCAACATTATAATTAAAAAATAGGACAGGTGATTCACCTTTCGTCAGGAGGGGTCATTGGCGAGGAGGGTTGTGGACTGGGGTTGTAGAGCTTGGTTCATCATCACTACGCAAACTGATGTAAGTGCTCAAAATTATAGAGCAATAATTATTGCTGCTAATAATTTATGAATTAAAACAATGAACCCACCTATAGGCATTTTGTGAGGAACCAGGTTTATCATCAGCCACAAATGAAGATGGAGCTGCAGGGAAAGGTGCTAAAATATGAGGTGTTGTGACCCTTAGAGGCATGCATAAGTTTAATACTAGCTACTAGCTACAAGCTGAATAGCTTGAAGAGTAGAAGACCTGAGTATAACTTCCTTCCTATTCAGCAGCTGAGCTTGAGCTGAGCTTGCGCTGAGCATAGGTAATTGTTCCATTGTAAGCGCTTTTTAAAGGTAGACACTTATCTAGGTGTAACATGCTCTGTAAAAAACTGGATGCCTTTTTCTTTGCCTTTTCCCTTTCCTTTTACTTCTTTGTAACTACTGGATTAACTGAAAGTGAAGAAATAGTCAACATTATAGAAAAATAATGATCATGAACCACGATTGATCTATTACTACAGGAATGCAATGCTTTTACTGTCAAGCAAGTGTGAGGAGTTCAAGTATTCATAATGACTTTCAATTCTTCACGCATATTATTTAATATCACACAGAAAATTATGGTATGACCAATGCTCGTCATTATTATATTAAACAAATAATAGAAATATCCTGCCTTCAGACGACTAGGTAGGCTTGCTTCGCTTACCAATGAGATCAATACCTTTCCCATATCCACTATTGCCACAGATAAATATTCTTGATCAAATTTAACACCCCCACAGCCTATTTCAGCGCTGCTGAAAACGGCGCACATTAAATCGTCACGATGATGCTGCGTCTAACGTTTGTCACGCACACTGACCATCAACAACACCTGTATAGACCCTGCCCAGTGTAATTGCTCTCTCTGACACTGTGGTACTACTGACTCATTCCCTGATACATCACTCATCTGTGAACTGACTAGCCTTGCTTTTCTACCTCGTTTGCATATAGCTAAGCTACTTGGTTTGGAGTCGGGCGTCATTGGTGATTTAATTACCCCGGTCTGCTCAGAGTTTACTGTGCCATAGCACAGTGGTTTGAGGTTTGCCTTGTGTTGTAGATTTGAACCCCTACCATGAGTTGCGCTGGTAGCTCATTTGGTAGAGCGCTCTCCTAGACTGCTGAGTGTCATGGGTTCGAATCCCACCAAGGGCAGATCTTCTTTTGCTTTGAAAAAAAAACAGCTGTCCTGGGCTTAGTTGACTTGTTTGCCTTGCCTTGCCTTTCTACCTCGTTACCAAGTTGTTGAGACATGCATCGTAGCTGCCCTCAACACGCATGCGCAGCGAGAGATATGTTATTTTATTTGGTCAGCACGTATAAGCTGGGGAGCAATTTTCACTGTATATCAAACGGTGGAGGAAAAGAGGGAAAGAATTTGTCAAAGTTCAACTCCAGGATGGCATTTATAAAGTCGGCATCACCCAGATATCATGCTACAGTTACAAATTCATATCAGTCGTTCATGAAAACCTAGTACATAGACAAAAAAAGTTTTGAAGGCAATCCAGGTCGTTATTCTTTTTGACAATGTTCGATTTTCCAGCTATTATTTTCCTGCAAGCTCGAACACTTTGTGTGGAAATTTCAATTCCCCACTTTGAGTGATGGTCTTTATATCCATGAACATACATACCCTCAGTCACTTCATTCCTATCGCTGATCCAGTAATTTGGTTTGGGGATAATCACGTGCTTCATCTTCGACTTCGCATTCGTTTCATAGATGGTTTTGCCCGACATGCTGACCCTACAGCAAACTTATTTGGTGGGATATTATCACCGTCAATGACTGTTAGGGTATCTTTTTCTCCTTCACCAAATGCATCAGATAGGTGAGGGGTGTCGTCGCAAAAGCTGAAATTCGCGACGTTTTTATCTTTAGGGTCGCATTCCTTGCGTCCAGTACCATAAAACATCACATCGGGTCTTATTTTCTCCACTTCGGACAACAAGAAGCTGTATTTCGCTTTCCACGGGAAGGTAATTTTTATCGCCTATCGTCTACCGGCATTTCGGGATACAAAAACCAAGCTGGAACTACATCGCTTTCTGTTGGATACCAGTATATAAGAACTTCCACGCTCTGTTTCCGCAGTTCATGATCGTGACGCTGAAAGTGTGACTTTCGCCGTTACCATCTTCGCAATGATCATGATGATGACAATGGTCCAGGCTGTGGTGGCCTCTTTCTGAATGCCCTGCCATTCAAGCCTTCTTCTGTCTAAAGGAAATAAGTAGCTACGTCCTGAGTTCAGACTCTTCATTCAGCGAAAGCCCTGCGGCGTGCGCGAGCCGCAGACTTCCGTCGCTGAACGACGCGATGCGATCGCAAACAGGATGCCGATCGCGCGAGTTAGTTCGCGCAACACCGGGCCTTGCGTATAAAAGGTGCACTAAAGCTTACAGTTTGTGAGAGGCAAAAGAAGAAAAATCTTCAGAACAAACCTGGGAACAAGCGCGTTTGGAAATGACTTCGACCGTAAAAGGTGCACAAAAGCTTGCAGGGCAAAAGAAAACAAAATCTTCAGAACAACCCTCGAAACAATCACATTTGGAAATGACTTCGACCAACTACTCCGTCAAAGTCGTCAATAACGGTGCTGCGGCGTGGCAATTTTACGTTTACCAGAAGCCACCCGCCGTCGCAAACAACCTCAGTTTGGCCTGGTTTGCTTCTCCCTACCATATCGGTGTAGGTGACAGCATTACCTTTTCCTGGAATATTCAGTACTCGTTTGTATGGTCCGCTACCGGAATTGTAAAGCCGGGAATACAATTTACGGCATCAGGGGTGAAAGAATGTGACCCCGACGGTGAAAACATCACCAGCTTCACTTTCGAAAATAACACCCCGAACCTCTCTTATCCTGCAACGGGGGGGACTGGCGGCAGCCTGACCATCAAAGATGGCGATAGCGTTCCATCAAATACATTTGCAGTTGGCGTCGGCATGTCGGGCAAAGGTACTTACGTTGTAAACGCAGGGCCCAACCTGACACACGAATTTACTCCTGAACCGAAGTACTACATTGTTGCCGCTGACGAAGTGGTAGAAGGTCAAGTTATGGATATAACAACAGTCACTAAATCCGGTTCTTTGGCTTTTTCCCCCCAATGTGTACGATCTGACCGCGACACTGAAAGCAGACAATACAGTGGGACATTAAAACCCGCATTGAAGCCGAGAACAAGCTTTGACTTTTGACTATGATTTAGCAGTAGATATAGACAATGATTTAGCACTAGATAATAGTTCGCTACTGTTGTATACTGCGTTTAAATAATAAAAAAGGGGATTCAGTTGAGTCTCAACAAAATCACTGTGCGACTTTTGCGCCCGCGCGCGGAAATGCACGCTCGTACGGCGGAGGCTGCAGCCTCTGGCCGTTGCGCAAAGGCCAACACAACTTGGTTGCGTTAATCATGCAACTACTATTACATGAAAATCGGAGTGTCGTCGCGTGGATCATAACTACACTGAAGTTGCTTGAGCGTCTCGACAAAAGTGTAGAGCGTCGGTAGACGTGATGGCACTGGTCAAATCTCACGTGATCCGCGTAAAAACGCATCATAACTCCACGAGAATGACTCGCTAGGCTTCAGAAATCACTAGCAATAGTCTACGGACAAATATCTAGCTACACATAAATACTTTATACTGCCATCAGTTCTCCACCCGAGGATTCGCTCATACGCGATTTTCGTGTCGTCATTCATCTTCAGACCTTTACCAGAACAAATTCCAGCGGTGATTTTTTCACTGAACGTATCCAGGTTCTACGGAGGTGTGTGCACGACTATCAAGTGATTTTAATTTATGATTCGGCACTAAGACCAAGGATACACCAACAGCAGCATACTGCTAATATTAAAGTGCACCTAATGATTTACATATAAAACAAAGGAAGTGTGTAATACTTAAAAAGCGAAAATGAAGTGGCTGTCACAGATTCAGCAGGTAACCAGTTCCATAACGAAATAGATTGGTGAATGAAAGAATGTTGTTGAGAATTTGTGCGTGCATAAGGTACATTAAGCAATACAGAATGATTAGTGCGAGATGTATATACAAGGGTGAGGCGAAAATGTGAAGGGAAGTATATTAGCCCATTGATGATGCAGTATAATCTACAAAGTGAGAAGCAGTGTCTGTGGTTCTCCGATGACGGTATATTACAAATGTCGAGGAGCTCCTCGTATCTCAGATTATAGTTCCGTGTAGGTTTTGTATAGCATCAGCATGGTATTACTTGTCACATACTTTGCAAAATTTCTGTAGAGCATGCCAATAACTTTTCTTGCCCTCACACTAGCCTGTTGGATATGAAGATCATTTCTTCATTGTCTCAAATCCCTGTGGTTTATCATTTAGCTTCACCTGGTAGACACTGAACGACGCTATTTCCTGATAACTCAGCAGTAAACGCGTCAGGGGCATTACGCGCACACCTTCGACACAGTTGTGCATGAGTAGATAGGGATTCACAGTAGAATCTAGTGGAACCTGGGTTCCGCTGACAGAGGTGACCCTTGCAATGACAATATTTTTACAAGGCTTTGAAGGAGACCATAATTGTGTAACACAATGTACAATGCATGACCTTCGAATTGATTGATGGGTGCACAGTAGTTATGAACAGTAGTTATGAACTATTAGTAGCACACAGTCCTTTAAAATTTTCACAATCCTCTGCAAGATACCTAGTGTGTCTGCTGGTCTCTCAAAATTACAACCATAAACACACACACACACACGAACCCTTCATTGCAAAACTATAGTACTTTTAAACCAAACTTAAACACGGTAGCTACCAAAGTTTAAGTACAGCATTTTATTAGGGAGTGGAGTAGCTACATATTCCTATGCTGTTGTGTGTCATATTATTATCACTTGCAGAATTCAGACAACTGATGTTGCACCTTCGTTGCTTTGCACTGGAGTAGTAACCACAGGGGCCACCATACACAAACACAGGAGAATACCAGCATCTCACTCCACTGATACAGTAGCTTGTAATGTGGAAAGGGAGTTAGCTAAGCTTGAGTGAGGATCAAAGCATGCAAACCACATTGTCAAAAATTAACCCTTTCCCTGTCATATAATATGGGAACACCTTCATAGGCTGTGATAAGGTTCAGATGGCCCTATGTTGTTAAATATTACCCACAAGGGCTCTTTCCTTGTCGATCACCATAAAGGAAAAAGAAAACGGCATACTAAACAGTAGTTGTCTTGCATGTTATGCAGAAAAGGAGTAAGCATGGGTTAAGGATGAAAGCATGAAATTATAGTTCATAGCATACCAGCACACCACACATAACCGAATTGATACCAAGTGTTTCCTTGTCACACAGTGTGGATAGGCTGCAATAGGACTCAGATGGCCCTTTGTTGTCAATTCCCTATAATACCCACAAGGGCTCTTTTCTCTCTCATAAAGGAAACCAGATAGTCCCTCACTCCCTATTGTACTAGTAACAAAAGAGTGATACCCTATAGCAGAAAAGGAAGGGTTTCTTCGTAACATAATGCGGAAATGTACGGAAGAGGAGAAGGGCCATTCGATATTTCCGTTCAACATGAAATTCCATTCTTCCAACCTGCTTTTTTTCCATTCTGCTATCCTTCCATCCTTCCATACTGCGCAGAGATTGAATGCCCATGGGCAGATGCAACAATTGCGCATGCACTCACCTGGCAATTGCAACTTTCGTGTCGGGACCCCTCTCCTGTGAAAATCCTTTTAACACAAGAATCCAGGAGTTTCAAAGTCGAACAAGTATTGACACACCTGAATTTCTTGCAAAAGCCTTTCAAGAGGTGTTAATAAACTGGACAGGGTTCAAAAGTAAAATACAAGCAAAGAAACGGGATAAACAACTACATAGAGGGAACACCTTGGTTTGACAAGGAGTGTAAAATAGAAAAGAAAAGGGTTAATAAAACCAAAATGATATTTCTACAAGATGTTTATAATAAACACACAATGGCCGAATACCTGACCAGGGAAAAGGAATAATCGGAATATTATTAAAGACAGGCCCAATCCGAGTTACACAACAACAAACTTCTCTTGGCCAACGCAACAGTCCTAATAGGGAATACTAGAAAAACAGTTGTGAAACAAGAAAGGAGTAAACGAGACTCAATTTGGATTGCATCACCATTTCAAATCTTTACATGAGAACAGACACTTGCCATCTGTTTCAAATTCTCTATTGTGACCTTTATCCCTCAACTGGATGAGGTAATTACACATGCAGAAGTGGTGCTGGCAATAAAGACGCTAAAAAAATTGCCAAATCATCCGGTTACAATGGAATTCCAGCGGAAGTGTTTAAATCACTTCCGGATAAAGTACTGCACCTGCTAATTGGTATTTTCAATATATATTAATGTCAGGAAATCATCATGAGAGTTGGGCTCATGGACCTATCTGCCCTATATATACACAAAACAGGAGACAAGGTCCCAAGAATCACAGGGGAATCACTTTGTTAAACACTTTGTTGTGGGTGGAAATTTATGCACTGCAGAAGATTTGCAGAAATCGTGATCACACACACACTCACAATGCATTGTGGGGGCAGGGGCGATGGCCGTGCCGTAACACTTTTGCGCGATTCTTTCGCGAGAGACTAGCGGGCGGAGGAGAGTTGTCATGCACCCCTATTAAAATAGGCAATGAGGGAATGCAGACAACTTGCAGGGGTAACCTTGAAACGTAATTTACTGTGGTCTTAACTCTGGGTTCTGACAGAGGTGTGCATGTGCATAGTGCATAGGATTCACAGAATCTAGTGGAACCTGGGTTCTGCTGGCAGAGTGGACCCTTACAGTGACCACTTTTACCGGGCTGGAAGCAGACCATAATTTTATGTACAATGCATGACCTTCGAATTGATTGATGGGTACACAGCAGTTAGGAACTATTAGTAGCACACAGTCCTTCCAATTTCCACAATCGTCTGCAAGATACCTAGGGTGTCTGCTGGTCTCTCAAAACTACAACTACAAACACACACACACACACGAACCCTTCATTGCAAAACTATATAGAGTACTTTTTGACCAAACCCTATACCTAAACACGGTAGCTACCAAAGAGTAATTACAGCATTTATTATGAAGTGGAGCATAGCTACAGGTTTTCTGCTGTTGTGTGTCATATTATCACTTGCAGAATTAAGACAACTGATGTTAGCTAAGCTTGAGTGAGGATCAAAGCATGCAAACCACAATGCCAAAAATTAACCCTTTCCCTGTCATATAATGTGGATACACCTTCATAGGCTGTGATAAGGCAGATGACCCTGTGTTGTCATATAATACCCACAAGGGCTCTTTCCTTGTCGAACACCATAAAGGAAAAAGAAACGGCCTACTATATACACACTGCCCTATTTCTGGGATCTAATATTACTAGTGCCTCTAGCATACCTACCAACCTGCAAATAAAACCTTTGCTTGAGAAATGTGTCAAATTTGCTTGATTTGGAGTATTTTTGCTTGAAAATGCTGCATGTCCATTCAAAATGTAAGGGCATGATGCATCACAGGTTAGCACAAAAAAGAATGGCGATTTTCTGGTGGGATAGGCAGTATTTAAGCTGGATGGTTGGTAGGTATGCTCTAGGGTTTTATTAGCCTTCTTCAGGGCTGGTACATAGTATAGTTCTCCTTCATGTAATGCGGAAATGGAGGAAGCGTGGGTTAAGGATTAAAGCATGCGCACCAAACATAACTGAATTGATACTAAGTCCCACAATGTGGATAGGCTGAGAAATGACTCAGATGGCCCCATGTTATCAAAATACACTAATCGCCAGTATAATAGCTACCCGCAAGGGCTCTTTTCTCGCTCATAAAGGAAACCAGATAGTCGCTCACTCCACACTGCCCTATTGTACTAGTAAACAAATGAGCGGATGCCCTATAGCTGAAAAGGGAGTGCTTCTTTGTAACATAATGCAGATATATCATTATGTATGGAAGACGAGATTGCATATTTCCGTTCTACACCAACTTCCATTCTTCCAACCAGCCATTCTTCTATTCTTCTATCCTTCCATCCTTCCATACTGTGCAGAGATTGAATGCATATGTGCAGAGGCAACGATTGCGCATGCGCCCACCTGCAATAGACCTTTTGCACGCAAGCGAAAGTATTTTGATTGCCCCCGTGACGTCACATCCGGTTGCTCTCCGGTATTGCAGAAAATCGGTGTGCGCGCACTTCGGTAGCGCATAGCGTCCTTATATTATTATTATTATTATTATTATTATGACTTTACAGCACTTAGTGAGGTAACAGAAGCAGACAGGGAAAATGAAAATGTGGAATGGTGCTGAAGGTCTGCTGGTGAACATACAGTAAATGGATTTGAAACATTTTGTATCATCGGCAAACAACAGGACCTTAGAAGACAATTCAACTTCAGGGAGGTCATTAATGTAGATAAGAAACAGTAGAGGGCCAAGGATGCTGCCTTGAGGAACACCAGAGATCACAGGGAGAGCAGTTGATGTTTTTGAGTTGATAGAGACACACTGACTTCGGTTAGTTAAATATGTAAGCAGCCACTTCCAAGCATTACCAGTTATACCAATGTGGCATAGCTTGAATAGGAGCTCATTGTGGGTAACAGAATTAAAGGCTTTTTTGAAATCCAAGTATAAGACATCAGTTTGAGAGGAATTTCTGGAAGATTCGAAAATAGAGTTGAAAAATAAGAGTAACTGGTGCAGGGTGGAACGATAAAGCATGAAGCCAAACTGGTGATTTAATATTTTGTTGTTCATGAATTGGAGGATTTGGTTGAAAACTATCCTTTCTAATACCTTGGAGGAAATACACAGGAGAGATATAGGTCGGTAATTTTGAACAAGGCATCTGTCACCTGATTTAAAATAGGTTTGATTTGATGCAGGCGCCATTCGGGAGGGATGTATATAGGACTGAGAGAGGCTGAGGCTAAATAGATGGTGAAGAGGCTGGTATAAAGCTGGAGCACAGGACCAGGACTTAGGACCAATTCTATCACAGCCTGCAGCCTTAGAAGGATCAAGCGATGTTAATGTTTGGAATACTTCTTCTTAAGAAATAGATATGTCACTAAGGTTAGGAAAGATAATAGGCAATTCTTGAGGGTCCAGAGGACCCCTACTGCGGAAGGGGCACACAAAACTCTGTCCAAGTGACTCCTCGCGTGGCGATCTCCCGCCTTTTTGTCTTTGGATTGTTCAGCAGCAACTGAAAATGCCGCGCGCAGGCCTAAACTAAAAAGTCCCCTTCAGCCAGAAAAAATGAAAAGCACTAAAGTGCAAACCCTCGGCGAACTGCGCATGTGCGGTACCACTAATTAATGGGCTGGGCTTTTTATGCCTGTGGTATCCCGCTAGTAGCTCGCGGAGAGTCTGGCACGGGCTAGCTACAGTAGTAAATAGCATGCGGGAGTCGATACATGCCCTTCGTTGTGACCTGTTGTGCCTGCAAGACACACAGAGCGAACGGACGCGGTCGGGGTAAGCCTGTGCTAATTTACATATTGCTTGTTCACTTGGTTTTCACGCCATAACTTTAAAACACAGTAGTTTTACGAAAATCGCCTTTTTTAAAATCAACCCAGTGTAGCACTGAACCCGATCATATCGCTATTTACCTGATTTCGTGCGCGCGGTGGCAGAAAACGTGGTAACAGACAGACAGACAGACAGACACACTTACGGGACAACTACCACAGACAGACAGACACACTTACGGGACAACTACCGTAACCCTCGCTGCGCATGCGCGCCGAGGGTTAATGACTGGCGGTCAGGGAAAAACCCAGGATCCCTAGGGGAATTCGAAGCACGTGCTTAATTACTCTTTGGGTGGCGTCCAACCAATCAGATCGCGCGCTGGAAAACAAACACCGGATATCGAGTGTAAACATTTATGACGTAAGGATGACGTTGCCGCAAAATTGATATTCTTTTGCGGCGTGCCGTATGTCGCTGGTCGAAAGTTTCAATTATGCGAACAATCTGAAGAAAATTATTTCGCTTGCAAAAAAGGGGAGGAGGGGCTGGTTGAAGCTAAGGGCCATGGCGTCTTCCTTTGTCCCTAAGGACAGGGAAGAGCTTCTGCTACGGACGCCATTGACGTTTGGGTTCTCTGCACCCACAGATATGTATCAGCCAACGCAACAGCAGAGACGTACATAAAAATACGCTATAGCTACGCCGAATCCGTCGCAAGCACATAGGTTTTTTCCCCACAGGCGTTGTCCTCCTCTCGCGATGAGTTCCGCGGTGACGCATCCAGTGAGAGGCACAGGGCTAAGATGAAGAAGATGTCAAGAAACAACCCGCACACCGGTATGAACCAGCTAACTACAGATTATGTGGCTCAAGAAGCAAATCAAAAACCCAACGGTCACCATTGACTGTACCAGTTTTGTTAGTAGGGGAAGGTATGATGGTGATTATTAGAGTAAGAAACAGTGGAATAGTGGCACTACCATCACATGCAAAATGTAATGTCACGCACTTATTGTTCCTAGCTACGTAGCTACACCCTGAGGGGGTGAAATGATTAGGCCCTAGCAGGGCCCTAGCAGTGATGTAATGCAATATCTCCCTAGCTATGTAAACTGGCAACGTGGTGAGCCATGGCAGCAGGTAAAAATTTTTGCACTTCACTCTTCTACTATTCCCAAAAAGCATTGCAAGCACACATGTGGGGCTCATAAATCATAGCATTCACATTGTGCTAGTACTGCAACCTATACAAACACTACGCAAGTGCGTTAGCAAGCGCAAATAGGAGACGTCTTGGGTAAGTTCCTCTCAGAGGTGTCAAATTTAATTCTCTTTGCCAGCCCAGTGCTAAGAAGTGTGGATGCTTAGAGCTACTTTCCTAATCATGATTGTTTGCTTTGCCTTGCCTTTCTACCTCGTTACCTCGTCGTCCCACCTTTGATTGATGCTAAACATGTGAGTGCAGGTAGAGTGAAACAGATGAAGGGCCTAACCCACGATCCTATATGCTCGGTGGAGGATAACCAGGCCAGGCCCCGCCCAATGTCGGCTCTCACCAACAGAGACCTCGGCAGTGGCTACAGACCTCCTGGGTCGTCTCGCTACTCTGCTAATACCAACAAACACCTCTATGCTGTCGGAGTCGGGGTTGAGCATTATTATTGGAGGATGTCATAATATCCAAATTTGTTAGGAGTAAATTTTACTATTATGCAATCCAGCAATAGTTTAGTGACAACTGGTTTTTCTTTAGGTACACTCATATGCTTACAAGGTCATAGCAATATACAGTGACGCAAGTAATGGACTTTCCAAACTAAATAGCTACGTTGGTCATATAATTAGCTTCATCTTCTCCCTCTATCTTTCTTCTTTCACTACTACACCAGTCCCGGTGACCTATGCGTGGCGAGACGAGCTGATCAGGAAGACGAGGAAGGCCATCAGCAAGGCCCTGGGTCGCGAGGATCCTCCAACTAGACCTCTCAGTAGACAGAGCTCCAGAGGAGAGGCTCATCAGTTTTACCATCTCGATGACAAGGCAGTGAGTAAAGCCAACTACACGGCATAACTCTGTTGCAAGACTATTGACTTAGGTCCAGGCAGACAAGAGTATCATGAGCTTAACCCACCGCACCGTGTGTGTGTGTGTGTGTGTGTGTGTGTTTAGTGTTGTTTTTGGTGCACGTGTGTATTGTGTAAATGTGTTGTTTTGAGTGAGATTTGGGGTTGTTTCTCTTCTTTCCTCTTTTATCCTTTATAGCTAGTATGCCATACACATGTTCTTTCGTGCAACATCATTTTGGTAATGAAAGTGCCCGCATAAATTGGATGTGATTGATCCAAGCAACATATGTTAGAACTGGTAAAGTGTTCTTTGTTGTGTAGGGCCATCATACCCATACATTAATACTATCATCTCATACAACGATGTTTGAGCTGTGTTTTTGAAGTTGCAGTCGTATCACTGAGTCTGTATGTCCCACAGTTGCTGGGGATGCTGTGTCAGTTACTGCGGACAGACTCTGTCCCCAGATGTCAGGAATGGCTCAGCGACGCCTCTGCAGACCGTAAGACACACTACAGCTCCATAATATATTATACTAGCTTCGATTTTGGAGGCTTTGCAAGTTTCCAAATTTTCACCCTTAGACCACCTGTCACCATGGAGTGTCCCCATCACGTGCTTGTCACGTGCCATTATGCACGCTGCAAGGGTGACGGTACACAATATACCTGTGGGGTTGCTATGAGAAACAGAGCTCTTTGCTTCACAACTGACTCTTTTTTTTAACTACTATATACCATTACTGAGTGACCAGCTGTGGGTCCTGTGCCCTAATACTCGACAACTGGTTTCCAATTCACCGCACTGTGGAGCTATGCAGTTCAACCAAACTCTTAAGCTTTGCTCACATGGGCTCAGAATGCTTATGCACGTATCTTTCGATTGTGAATCACAATGCTTCCCTCTTATGGCATAGTAGCTGAGCTCAGGTAAGGATTGTGTTCCTCCAGAGAAGGACATAGTTCTGAACATGATTCGAGTGGCAGCTCTAGGAGAAGATGATCCAACCGATCTTCCCTCCAGACCTCCCTCTCGGTATGTACATACTTCCAAACCCACCAATCAAACGATGCCAAATCTTAACAATGTTTAAAATAGTTGGGCATCCAACCATGTACTTTAGGAGTAATCCGGCAAGAAATGTATACTGCTTGATAACTGACGTCTCCTATAGTATCTGCATGCACTGTTTACCAATAGCTAGCTAGTGTGTGCACAGGTTATCTGGACATTACCAGATCTTGGTTTGGTTTCAATATGGGGCAGAGAACATTGAAACAAAGAACGGTTGAAAATGAAGCCAAATTTATCAAACTAAAAGTTAGTCTATCAGACTTCCTGAATGAAACATGAACACCTAAATTGCACAACTTAAAGACAGCTTTTCTGTAGCTAGTTGTGTGTGTGTGTTGTGATTTTGGGTAAGAGTGCAGATTCAATGCAAGACTTGATCTTGCCACTGTCTGGTTTGTATATAAAACTGTGTAATATTATGTACGTAGTTTGAACTCCTACCAGATGAGTTGCCCTGGTAGGCCAGTTAGTAGTGCACTTGCCTAGACTGCAAACTGTTGTAGGTTGGAATCCCACATTGGGCAGCTCTTATTTTTCCTTGAAAAAAGAGGTGTCCTGGGTGCAGTTGACTTGTTTTCATTGCCTTTACTCCTCCTCGTTGTTGTCACATACAGGTACGTGTGGAATCCTCCACCCACTCATCGGTCAAGGCGACGCTACTCTGACCCTCTACTGCGGGAGAGCTTTGCACTAATGTCTCTCAACGCACACCCTCGCTACCTCTTCTCCCAGCAGAACCCTGGCTGGGGAGGAGATGGGGGAGGGAGGAATGACTGAAAGAACTCCTGGTAAAAATAGAGTGGAAGTATATAATCTGTTAAATACATTGGCCTTTTCTTGATCAGATTCAGCAGAAATGTCATTAAACACAACAGTAGTAGGGATATTGTTTTGGCCAGTAAAATTTCGAACATATCTGAACACTTTGGAAGTATCGTTGGAGCGGAGGGACATCAGCAACTGGGATTCAAATTTAGACTTTGCTGACGATATATGCTGCTGCAACTGTTGTTCTAAAATTTCAATCTTTGATGATCTGAGAGGAGAGGGGTGAGACTTGGACTTCTTGCGCAAGGTATTAAGACAGTTAATCTGGTGACGAACAGAGGGATCAAACCACTGAGGGTCTTGTCTAGAACGCAGACGAGTCTTGGGAATATACAAACACATGGCATGATATATAACAGACTTAATCATTAACCAGATGAACTCGATATTGGTACTGTGAAAACAAACAGAAAAATCATAATCCATAATAAAAGAACAGATTCCGTCATAGTCAGCTTTGGAAAAGTCAAATACATATCTAGACTTGTGTTTAGGAGAATTAAAAAAACTGATGATAAAGTGATCGGATGAAATTGATTGAACTGGATGTGTAGCTAACAGCTAAATCAGAAATGTTGACACCTGGGGTAGTTATAACCAGATCAAGTGTATTACCAGGTATATGGGTAGGGACCAAAACACGTTGAGTTAGTTCTGTAATTTCATCATTATGCGAAATCTGGTGGCACGCGAAACAACGGAACTGACGGCCCTTCTCTCCGATAACTTTGTAGGCCATCACGCTGACTCCTGCACAGTAGCGATGAGCCCATTACTGACAAGAACCAGCACAAAACAGCGCTTCATCTTTAGCGGGGTTGAGGCTCTGGCAACAGACGCAACATGTCTCGGCAGACGTCTTAGATGACACGGAGGCAGTAGCCGTAGCAGTCTTAGGTGACTCGGAGGCAGTAGCAGTTTTAGAAGTCGTTTTCTTTGTGGGAGGCATATCTGATATCTGCCGTTATGTTCGCGCTGTCTCACCTGTATGCAGGATGTTGGTCCTCTTTTGACAGTTTGGCTATGTTCGGACAGTGCATTTTCTGGGATTTTAAGACAACGCTATGTACTCAGAAAACCTTAACACTATAATACTACAGCTGAACACGCAGTACTGCGTCGTACAGCTGTGCACAAACCGCCGGCAAACACTGCGCCCACTTAATTTTGCGCATGCGATAGTCTGTTCTTCAAACGATTGCGCATGCGCATTTGAGGTAAAATAACGCGATACTAGTTCCAGAAGGGACGAACTTACGGCATATAACTCGCCTTGCCCTTTCAGTGAGTTGTAGGTAGACAAGACATTGCGGTCCGACAATTCGAAGGTGTCCGATAAAGAGTGGTGTCCGGTGATTTATGCAGTACTCTATATATATGTTCCAACGTTGTATATCCAACAGATGCTTCCTTACAAGTTGGTCGTACTTATAACTACTGGCAATATACGTGGATGGTTGGCCTACGTTCTGCAACTCGCTTATTATTACATCGACATAGAATTTCTTACAAACCACAATAATATTACTACTTGCCTTGTCTGCGGGAACTAGAACATATTTCTGGTTGAAATGTTCTAAATATTCCAAATGAGCGCCATTCTTCAGTACCTGCAGCTTTCTATGTATTGGCTTCTTCCTCTTGAGAACATTTGTCCTATTTATAATACATGCTATGCCACTCATTCAACATTCGGACATAAAAATGCTCTCTCTTTGCCCACTGCACCTTATACGCTTGTATCGAATCCAAGAGTATTGATTTGACCAGTTAATATTATTCTGCTCCCTATACGAAGGCCCTTTTATCAAAAGCTGACGAAGTTGTCTATCATCCACAATACATAGATTACCAGTTATCACATGCCCAGTTGGACCATATACATAAGGAGAATTACTGCAGTCACAAGACATTTCCTTGGAACCAACAGTTAAGTCTATCTCGGAGAACACCGTTTTATGGTTAAATACTTTAGAGGCAATCGTACTAGCATAGTGGTAGCTAACCGTATAGGTGGGGTATTATCTATGCATAAGGAAATTGTAGAGGTAACGTTCTTGTTGTGCAATAAAGGAGGCAGATTGACCATATCGATACCTTTACTATGATGGAGGATTTTAATGAACTTTTTATTCCCAGTTTGAACATTCAGGTGATCAGTGTTATGACCAGGAGAGTTTCTAAACCGTACTACAGTGGAACCCCGCTTAACGGACACCTCTCTACAACGGACACCGCGTTACAAACTAGCAGGTCCCGATTGTTTTAGCGTAGAGTTCCGTAAGTTCATAACCCCTCCAGAACGGACACCCCGCTATTCCGTATAACGGACAGTAAAACCAATCCCAAATGTTTTTCAACGTAGAAAAAACCACGCGACAGTTTGCCGCGCCCCCTGCCAGCGAAGTAATAGTTAATGTACGTAAGTCAGTGCTGCGCGCGTTATAGTGGTACGAGGGGCGTGGTCGAGACAGTCATACAGCACGAGGCGCAGCCGAGCTGCTGTATGATCTATCGAGACCACTTTCCGAGTACCATAATTACGCGCGCAGCACTGACTATCACGCGCACAGCACGTGCTTCCGTACATTAATTTTGGGCGATTCAAAAGGCGGCGACCAGGAAAACCGACGTTCAGAACGGAAGAGAGGACGAGAAGCTCGCGGAGCGCCCTTCCAGCAGCGGTTTGTGTCACCGTCTGAGTCGAACTCCGTCTACGAAAGGCCGCCGAGGGCGTCATTCTCGCAAAGCGTACGCTAGTCCGCGGATAAAGGCGGCGGCCAGGAAAATCAGGTTTTTTGCAAGTTCAGAACGAAAGAGAGGACGAGACGCTCGCGGAGCGCCCTTCCAGCAGCTGTTTGTATCATCGTCTGAGTCGAACTCCGTCTACGAAAGGCCGCCGAGGGCGTCATTCCCGCAAAGTGTATGCTAGTCCGCGGATATATATAGTACAGTTCGTGTGATATAGTACAGTTCATTCAGAAACTGTTCTCTATGATGAATATAGTACTGGCGGTGCCTTTGATTCGCCCACGCAAAATACAATAATAGTAGGCGAATGCATGGCATTATTGGCGAGCGGGAACGAGCACACATCTCCACGAGCCATCCTAGAACCACGAAGATTGGAAAGAGGTATCATATAGCCTCAGTCAGGTATCGAAGAGCGCAGCGAATACCAGCGAATAGACGAGAGTTCTTTCGCTGGCTAGATTTCGACTCGATACGACAGCTAGGCAGAGTGTAACAATTTTGAAATTCCCTATCGCGCAAGCGACGCTGATACAGACGAGCCTCTCTCTGCTCAGGAGTCTCACGGGCACGATGTTCTCTTTCCCTCTCTCTTCGACGACGAAGGGCATCTTCAGGACTGATCATGATTGCGAGAGTATATACGGAGCCACACACACACACACGTATACGCACACGTGTGTACTATATATACACTCACGACGACAGCATGTGAAAAATTTGAGAACCGCGGAATATTTTAGCGCTCTATAGTCTAGAGCGTTTTTAAGGACGTTAAACAGTGAATTAGTGACATAGAATTGTGTAATACTGTTAATCAGGCAAAACCCCTCCATAAAGGACACCCCGCTATAATGGACAAATGTTGTGGCTCTAAGTTGTCCGCCTTAGAGGGGTTCCACTGTAGGTCCCTGATAAAAACTCCTATACGTCCGGGTATCTCACCACGCAGTAGATAGCCATCTAATGCCATAGTCACTTCACCGAGTTTCCTACGAGGCAATCCTAGAATGCATGTACGCATATCCTTGCTGAAGTTACGACGCCTATACGAAGCCAACAATTTGGAGAGATGCTCATCTATCAATTCGTTTTACGCCATATTCTTACTCCTTCTGCCATTCCTATTTCTAAACCTTCTGTCATGCTTATCTATTCTATATACGACCAAACTATCCTGATCTATAAGCTTTGATACATTACCTAAACCCTTGACGTTATCGTTCAAACCGTATGGATATATGCTGCACAGTTCTCTCATCCAGAAGTCCTCCCTTTTTGGTAGCTTAGATGCTAAAGTAATGTTATCCTCACACACACACATGTCCTGGTGACGGTGCTGTGGTGTCACGATCAGCTCCAGACAGACTCTTTGTCTTTGTCAACAAGAGACCAGTAGCTATCAAGCAAGTCAACCAGGTTTGGACATTAAACACATGTTTTTCCCCTATACCTCCATTACCTAAACCCTTGACGTTATCGTTCAAACCGTATGGATATATGCTGCACAGTTCTCTCATCCAGAAGTCCTCCCTTTTTAGTAGCTTAGATGCTAAAGTAATGTTATCCTCACACACACACATGTCCTGGTGACGGTGCTGAGGTATCACGATCAGCTCCAGACAGACTCTTTGTCTTTGTCAACAAGAGACCAGTAGCTATCAAGCAAGTCAACCAGGTTTGGACATTAAACACATGTTTTTCTCCTATAGAAAAAGTGTAGTGTATATTTGCTACATGGAACGAAAAGCACTAAAAGTGCAAACCCTCGGCGAACTGCGCATGCGCGATAATGCTAATTGTTGGCTGGGAATTTACTAGTATGCGTTTACTCGCGGTCTCCCGCTATTACCGCGCGGAGAGTCTGACACGGGCTAGCTACAGTAGTAGATAGCATGCGGGAGTCGATACATACTGTTCGTTGTGTCTCCCTCAGCCCCCAAGGTACACAGAGCGAGCAGATCAGGTCGCGGTAAGCCCAATGTGATTATGCATATTGGCTTTTTCGCTTGTTTCCACGGCATATCTCTCGAACGCAGGAAATTCACCCTTTTATTTTTCAGGCTCGCGTAGTTCTGAAGCTGCTGGTATCGCTAATAGGCCGCGTCGGCACACACACACACAGACAGACAGACAAACCAACTACTGTAATCCGCACTGCGCATGCGCGCCAAGGGTTAGTAATCAGAGACTCTATATAGGGACGACACGGGTGAAATCTCACGTGATCCGCGTACAAAACGACTAAAAGAATCACTCCCTAGTTCAAAACATACTAGCAATAGTCTACGGGCCCATTTCTAATTATGTCCCCCAAGACCTCATACGCACCTTCAGTCGTCCACGCGAGAATTCGCTCATACGCGATTTCACGATTTTCGTGTCATCATATTCTTCATCTTCTTCTTCTTCTTCTTCAGACCCGCTAGCTCCTTACCGGAAGCACTTGAAGCGTTGATCA